ACCAAGGTGTTGGGTGGGAAGGACTCGTGTGGGAACATTAGTGCAGCTCTGCCTCTGCTGTCGGCCCAGGTTTTCACAGCTCCAGAGGCTGACCCTCATCCACTGGAAGTCTCAGGTACACCCCGTGCTGAAGGTGAGAGCTCCAGGCTGCCCTGCACACCAGCTGTGACCCTCTGGGACTGTTGAGTACTCTAGGAAGTGGGTCAGGCACCTTGAGGGCCCAACGCTGCTCCATCGGGAGGCCTGCCTGCCTGCCTGGTTCTCCTTTCCTGCTGTTTCCTCCAGCAGGGAGGTGTCAGAGGCGGGGACACCCAAGTAGGCCTGGCATGGGCAGAAAGGAGGTCGCAGCTAAGGCGGTAGTGTGGGGTTGGCACCAGCCACCTGTTTGTTTCCCTTGTGGATCTTAGCCTGCGCTCTCCCAACCCCAGCTGCCCCTCTGTCTCCCCGCAGCTGGTAGGCGAGTCCTGTCCTCGGCTCACTTTCCTAAAGCTCTCCGGCTGCCACGGTGTGACTGCTGATGCTCTGGTCATGCTAGCCAAAGCCTGCTGCCAGCTCCATAGCCTGGACCTACAGCACTCCATGGTGAGCCCTGTGTCCCAAGGGGCCCTGAAAAAGCCCAGGCTGGGGTGACGGGTGCTCTTGTATTGGGACCCTAGGTGGAGTCCACAGCTGTGGTGAGCTTCTTGGAGGAGGCAGGGTCCCGAATGCGCAAGTTGTGGCTGACTTACAGCTCCCAGACGACGGCCATCCTGGGTGCACTGCTGGTAGGTTGGCACTGGTGGGAGCAGAGCCAGATGCTGAGCTGGGGACTGCCAGGCCACTGACCCTGTGACCCCCTTCCCCTGCACCTCTGCAGGGCAGCTGCTGCCCCCAGCTCCAGGTTCTGGAGGTGAGCAGCGGCATCAACCGTAACAGCATTCCCCTTCAGCTGCCTGTTGAGGCTCTGCAGAAAGGCTGCCCCCAGCTCCAGGTACCTGGCGCCCTGCCTCTCCCACCTTTTATACGCTCCCCTATCTACAGCCTGGGCCTTGCCCCCAGGTGCTGCGGCTGCTGAACCTGATGTGGCTGCCCAAGCCTCTGGGACGAGGGGTGGCTCCCGGACCAGGCTTCCCCAGCCTGGAGGAACTCTGCCTGGCAAGCTCAACCTGCAACTTTGTGAGCAACGAGGTCCTGGGCCGCCTACTCCACGGCTCTCCCAACTTGCGCTTACTAGATCTTCGTGGCTGTGCGCGCATCACGCCGGCTGGCCTTCAGGATCTGCCGTGTCGGGGTCAGTGGTTCTGGGTTGTGGCCAGGCACATGAGGTGTGGGGGCCCTTGTGCCATGCTGGAGTCAGTGGTCCTGGGTGGTGGGCAGGCAGGTGAGGTGTGGGTGGTGGCTGAATGGGTGAGGTGTGGGGACCCTTGTGCCGTGCCAGGGTCAGTGGTCCTGGGTGGTGGCCGGGCGGGTGAGTTGTGGGAGTCCTTGTCGCCCTGCAGCTTATGCTCACTTCTCTCACCGCAGAGCTGGAGCAGCTTCATCTGGGCCTGTATGGCACGTCAGACCGGCTGACTCTAGCCAAGGAGGGCAGCCCCCTGTTGACTCAGAAGTGGTGCCATACACTGCGAGAACTGGACTTGAGTGGCCAGGGTTTCAGTGAGAAGGACCTGGAGCAGGCCCTGGCTGCCTTCTTAAGCACCCCTGGGGGCTCACACCCAGCCCTGTGCTCTCTTAACCTCAGGGGCACCCGGGTCACACCCAGCACGGTCAGGTCAGCATCCCCAACCCCAGTCCCTGGAGCCCGGGTGGCTGTCACCGCATCTGCCTGGGGCCTGGAAGTGGTGTCCTGCCTGGCCTGAGAGCTCCCGGGGTCAGAGGGCATGCATATTGTCCAAGCCCCTGCGTGGGGTGGGCTTAGGGACACCAGGGGAACTGGGCTTGGTCTTGGTGGCTATGGGTGGCAGAGCCAGGTGTGGAACACCAGCAGGCACAGCTCCCTAACCTGGCCCAGCCCTTCTGGGGCAACAGCTCAACTTCCTGTGGCCTGCTTTCCCCACAGCTCTGTGATCAGCAGCTGCCCAGGCCTGCTCTACCTCAACCTGGAGTCCTGCCGCTGCCTTCCCCGGGGTCTGAAGCGGGCCTACCGGGGCCTGGAGGAAGTCCAGTGGTGTCTGGAGCAGCTGCTCACCAGCCCCTTGCCCAGCTAGGCAGCCACAGACCTGGGACACCTCAGCCCGCCTGCCCACCCCCTACGGTCGCAGCTAAGGCGGTAGCGTGGGGTTGGCACCAGCCACCTGTTTGTTTCCCTTGTGGATCTTAGCCTGCGCTCTCCCAACCCCAGCTGCCCCTCTGTCTCCCCGCAGCTGGTAGGCGAGTCCTGTCCTCGGCTCACTTTCCTAAAGCTCTCCGGCTGCCACGGAGTGACTGCTGATGCTCTGGTCATGCTAGCCAAAGCCTGCTGCCAGCTCCATAGCCTGGACCTACAGCACTCCATGGTGAGCCCTGTGTCCCAAGGGGCCCTGAAAAAGCCAGGCTGGGGTGACGGGTGCTCTTGTATTGGGACCCTAGGTGGAGTCCACAGCTGTGGTAAGCTTCTTGGAGGAGGCAGGGTCCCGAATGCGCAAGTTGTGGCTGACTTACAGCTCCCAGACGACAGCCATCCTGGGTGCACTGCTGGTAGGTTGGCATTGGTGGGAGCAGAGCCAGATGCTGAGCTGGGGACTGCCAGGCCACTGACCCTGTGACCCCCTTCCCCCGCACCTCTGCAGGGCAGCTGCTGCCCCCAGCTCCAGGTTCTGGAGGTGAGCAGCGGCATCAACCGTAACAGCATTCCCCTTCAGCTGCCTGTTGAGGCTCTGCAGAAAGGCTGCCCCCAGCTCCAGGTACCTGGCGCCCTGCCTCTCCCACCTTTTATACGCTCCCCTATCTACAGCCTGGGCCTTGCCCCCAGGTGCTGCGGCTGCTGAACCTGATGTGGCTGCCCAAGCCTCTGGGACGAGGGGTGGCTCCCGGACCAGGCTTCCCCAGCCTGGAGGAACTCTGCCTGGCAAGCTCAACCTGCAACTTTGTGAGCAACGAGGTCCTGGGCCGCCTACTCCACGGCTCTCCCAACTTGCGCTTACTAGATCTTCGTGGCTGTGCGCGCATCACGCCGGCTGGCCTTCAGGATCTGCCGTGTCGGGGTCAGTGGTTCTGGGTTGTGGCCAGGCACATGAGGTGTGGGGGCCCTTGTGCCATGCTGGAGTCAGTGGTCCTGGGTGGTGGGCAGGCAGGTGAGGTGTGGGTGGTGGCTGAATGGGTGAGGTGTGGGGACCCTTGTGCCGTGCCAGGGTCAGTGGTCCTGGGTGGTGGCCGGGCGGGTGAGTTGTGGGAGTCCTTGTCGCCCTGCAGCTTATGCTCACTTCTCTCACCGCAGAGCTGGAGCAGCTTCATCTGGGCCTGTATGGCACGTCAGACCGGCTGACTCTAGCCAAGGAGGGCAGCCCCCTGTTGACTCAGAAGTGGTGCCATACACTGCGAGAACTGGACTTGAGTGGCCAGGGTTTCAGTGAGAGGGACCTGGAGCAGGCCCTGGCTGCCTTCTTAAGCACCCCTGGGGGCTCACACCCAGCCCTGTGCTCTCTTAACCTCAGGGGCACCCGGGTCACACCCAGCACGGTCAGGTCAGCATCCCCAACCCCAGTCCCTGGAGCCCGGGTGGCTGTCACCGCATCTGCCTGGGGCCTGGAAGTGGTGTCCTGCCTGGCCTGAGAGCTCCCGGGGTCAGAGGGCATGCATATTGTCCAAGCCCCTGCGTGGGGTGGGCTTAGGGACACCAGAGGAACTGGGCTTGGTCTTGGTGGCTATGGGTGGCAGAGCCAGGTGTGGAACACCAGCAGGCACAGCTCCCTAACCTGGCCCAGCCCTTCTGGGGCAACAGCTCAACTTCCTGTGGCCTGCTTTCCCCACAGCTCTGTGATCAGCAGCTGCCCAGGCCTGCTCTACCTCAACCTGGAGTCCTGCCGCTGCCTTCCCCGGGGTCTGAAGCGGGCCTACCGGGGCCTGGAGGAAGTCCAGTGGTGTCTGGAGCAGCTGCTCACCAGCCCCTTGCCCAGCTAGGCAGCCACAGACGTGGGACACCTCAGCCCGCCTGCCCACCCCCTACCTTTGCCCAATTTCAGATATTTGAGCATTTTTTTTAAATAAAACGTTTTTGGGAGCTCTGTGTGTGGTCCTCAGGGTAGGGTTGGGCAACGGGTTATACCTGATGGAGCCACTGGGGCTACAGCCAACCCAGAGCCTGTGTGTTGTGGGGTCAGGATGGCCCCATGGGCTCTTAAGCCTGCAGGTGGCCATGCCTTTGCCTGCCCACTGCTGGCACCAGTGTGTGTGTTCCACCCTCAGGAACACTGGTGAGCTTGTCTGTGGTTGCATGTAGGGGGAGAGGTGGGGCCCCGCCCAGCTGTGGGGCTCATTGAGGGGTCCCCGCCTGCAAATTTCTCTCCAGCTCAGTCCTAGGGTGTCCATCCATCCACCTTTCAGATGAGGACTGTGAACAGGCCATACAGGGGGCCTCCAGGGGATGGACTGGCCAAGAAGTTAATGCCCACCGCAGGACCTCACCCAGGACTCCCTAGGAGGTGGTTAACAGAGCGGCCCCTTCTAGAACCCGCCCAGAACTTCTAGAACCCGTGCGCGGTCCACCCTGGGCCGCTCCCTGGCCTCGCTGCCCTGCCAGTCGCCTATGAGCTCCTGCTCCTTCCTGGGCCTGCAGCCCTGGAGAATTTGTTCACCCAGGTAGGAGCGTCGCTGTGGGCAGCAGGCGGTGGCAGCGGGCGGGCGGCCGGGCTGACCACCTCTGCCTGACGCAGATGCCTAAGGCGAGGCCCGGCAGCCTGCCCACGACCTCCGTCGGCTGGCGCTTCCAGCTCTGGTCCCTAGGACTCTCCTCTCCGGAGCGCCACCTGGCCAGGCGCCTCAAAAACAATAGCTTCTACCCATTCATGCAGCAGCAGCCAAACGGTGCGCGCGAGGCTGGGCGGGGCGGGGTGGGGCGGGTCCGGGGACGGGCCTGAATAGGGCGGAGCCAGGTGGGCAGAGCCAGGGCCCTGGGCGGGGCCAGTCGGTGCTCCTGGGGGCGGAGACACCGCCTCCCCTAGCCCTGCGCAGACCCAGCCAGTCAGGGCCAAGCCCTGGCACCGCCACCCCTGGCTGCGGGCAGGGCCGGGGCGTCCTCATGCGCCGCGCCGCCCCCAGTCTTCGTGCTCGAGTACTATCTGGACACGCTGTGGAAGGGGATGCTGCTCTTTGTCGTCTGCGTGGTCCTGGTCAGCTTGGGCTCCCTGAGAGAGGTGTGAGCCCCTGGGCCCGACCCCCATCGCCCTCCTCCCCCAAGGGCCGGCCTCGCGCCGCTCAGCTCAGACGCTCCCTGCGGCGCCCGCAGGTACAGAAACAGGAGACCTGGGTCTTCCTCGCGTACGGCGTGGGCGTGGGCCTGTGGCTCGTGATCTCGTCGCTGCCGCGGCGCCGCCTGGTGCTGAACCACACGCGCGGCGTGTACCACTTCTCCATCCAGGGCCGCACCGTGTGCCAGGGCCCCTTGCACCTGGTCTACGTGCGCCTGGCCCTCAACTCCGACGGTGACTGGCCGGGAGGGTGGGCCAGGGACGGGGAGGCCGCTTGGGAGGTCAGAGGGGCGGTCAGGCCGGCTGAGTCCACTCTCCCCGCAGCCTACGGAAGGTGCTTCTTCCAGCTGGTCCTCGGCGGCCACAGGTTGGAGCCGCTGGTGCTGGTGCAGCTGTCGGAGCGCTACGAGGTGGGTTCCGCCCAGACACGCGGCCTCTCTGGGAACAGGATGACAAGATCACTGTTTAAGGTCTTTGAGTGGGGCCGTTTCCTCACGCAGATAGTAAATACAATGCAGTCCTCATTGCTGGGGACCAGAGAGGGCGCCAGGGCTTTGGGCAGGACTGGGGATGCGGCCTGGTAGGGGAAGGAGACACCTGGACGGCGACTCGGGGTGTGTCCTGTCCTGGCCCCAGTTGAGCGCCACCTGCTCCCACAGCAAATGGAATACTTGGGCCGTTACATCGCCCGGAAACTCAACATCAACTACTTTGACTACCTGGCCACCTCCTACCGGCACGTGGTTCGCCACTGGCCACCCCCTAGCGCCACACCGTGATGCGTAAGAACCCCGTGGGTCACAAGCCCAGCTCCTCTCAGTCCAGCCTGGAGGTGTGACACCTGGAGGTGTGATTCTGAGGGCCTCCTCCACCCCAGGACTGCGTTCTCGGTAACCTCCCAGCCCCACTCTGGGGCAGATCAAATTGTGAGACCCACTCACTGTCCTTCCTTTCAATAAAGCTGCCTCAGCTTCCACACGGGTCATTTTCGGGGGCAGGGGAGGCACTCTGATGCCTAGGTCTTCCACTATTGCACACTCCTAGGACCTCAGAGAGCCAGTGCCTTCCAGCTGGCTGAAGCAAACCCCACAGCTTGGGTTTGAAGGCAGGAACAGCTGGGAGCAAGGGATGGTATATAGTCAGGTCTCTGAGGTTGGGCCCATCACTAGAGAGGCTGGGAACTCCGGCCTCTCAGCCAGCAGCACTTGATTTGTGCTACCTGATCTCAGAAGTGCTGACCAATGTGTGGAATCCAGAAATCAGAATCTGGCCCATTCTGGATCTGGTGTCTGCTGCTATTCCAACCAGCAATGGGGTGGGGTGCAGCCGGAGAACAAGCCGTACGCCTGAGGTGCATGCTTGCCCCAATAGCCACAAAGCTGCTGCCGCTTGCTCCAAGGGGGTGGGCGTGAGAGTCCCAGGCCAGGGTGCAGGGCCTCCTAGGAGGGAGGATGTGCAGTGCCCTGACGCCTGCTCCATGCCCGCGGGAACCCCAGGCCCACAACCCTGACACCCACTCCCCGTGCCCGCTGGAACCCCAGGCCCACGTCCCTGACACCTGCTTGCCATGTGTGCTGGAACCCCAGGCCCACGCTCCCCTCTCTAGTGGATCCCCCAGCTCTCACTGCAGCACCTGAGGCCTCCTGAGTGCTGGGGGCTGTTGTGGAAGCAGAGAAGGCTGTGGGCCATGGGGTCCCAGGGAAAGCAGCACCTGGCTCTCTGGATCTTCAGGCATTATCAGCTGAACGTTCCTGCAACCAGAAGCAGCTATGTAATTTGCAGGGCTCCATGCCAAATGAAAATGTGGAGCCCATTGTTAGAAAGTTGTTAAGTGGGGTGCAGTGGTGCATGCCTGTAGTCCCAGCTGCT